AATCATTACCATGGTGACAAAACCGTAAAGGTGCTTCTACACAAGGAAAGCTTCACCACACTTTCAAGAACACTTTCTCTTAATTTTCTGTAGGTTTAAAGCACAGAAAAATACCCCTCTGAACTTTCCCTGTTAGATACAGACACTGATACTCTCACATAGCTGAGTAAATCACCTACTGTATAAAAATATTCTGTGTTAATGGATAGGGAATTTGTAACCTGCACACAGTAAAAAGCAGAGAGGGTATCGTTATTCAGGTCAAGTATGATTTTACATGACAAGCAATCCCTCTGCAATTAATAGGGCCGCTTGTGCATTGAAGTATCTATTTCCTGAAGACACAGATCAAACAATACCTAAGGGAACCAGAGAAATATTAAATCAAAATTAAAGTTTTTGAATGAGGGCCAACAATTCTTGTTTTAGCATTCGATGCAAAATGCTTGCAAATCCCAGATGACAGCATTGTTCCAGTTCCTAATTCATGGGAATCAAAACATGGAGTCTGTGCAGAGAAGTCATTTTAAAACAAAGAGATTGTGCTTGCTGATGACACAATGGGAGGCACCAGCAAAGGCAGGTTTGGGAGGAAGTTGCTCCCCTCAGCACTTGAGACCACATGTGGACCTCATGTTCTGCTTTGGGCTTCACAGCTGGGCATGCCCTGAGCAACCTCACACAAGCAAGGAGCACAGCCTGCAATGGGGGGAAAGGGATGTGGGTGATGAGAGGACCAGGTGATGTTCAGTGGTTCCTTCCAGCCTAAACTGTTCTGCAGTTGGTGTATTTCACTGCTAACAGATGGGTAAAATCCCTGACAAAGCAGCATGAGAGGAGAACTGAGGACTGGTTAATAGCATCAGTAAGACATAGGCAAGCCTTTCTAGAAGATCCAGGTCACAGGCACACAAAGCTCCCAGCTCTATGCTCTGTGTCTTGTGTCAGCTCGGGACGTTCCCCCAAGGCCTCCAACTGACGTGTTTCATTGCTGCATCATTCAGCTAACTAGGAAACACCAGCAACCCACATCTCACAGCGCAGGTGGTGTTCAGAGTTCACTATCCAGAATGCTAAAAAGAACCTTCAGGTGCATTTCCAACAAACGTAAATCTAGACTTGTGCTGCCTACCAGAAGACCAGACCCCACATGAGAAGACCCGGAGATTGTCATTTTGAACTCAAGCGCAGTGTGGAACTAAAATAGTAAGGTGTGTCCTTCCATGATCAGCACTTGAAGCACCCTGTAGCAGGATTCAATGGATTCTTCAGGGGACAGCACCTCTGTGTGCTACACATTATGCAAGTACGTAGAAACAGACCTTACCCCAAAGACAGCAAAGTACAAATGGCCAACAAATTAGATGGATACTATCTGGGAAAATGCCAGGGTACATACTTGGGTGTCTTTGTGCGTCACAAAATTACAACAGCACCAATCAAAGCCAAGCTTGGCCACAGTCATCCCCTACAGCAATGGCTGGTTGCCACCATACCTAAGCCTAGATCCAGAACGGGCAGTGAACCGCGTGTGTTACTCCCTGTTGTATATCCACAGAAAATGCTGTTATCTTTATTGATACACTGTTGTGACTAATCAGCTTCCAAGTACCAGAGATTACTTATCAGGGTTTCAAACCAACCTCCCTGGTTGAAGGGAACACTTCTGACACAACAGATTAACTTTTCAGATTAATTTTTTTTTTCATGTTTGAGGATCTGGACAGTTGCTAACCTATTCTGTTTATTCTCTGGAGGACAAAGACAGTTTGGCTTAGCTATGACCCGAAGGGAATCGGTACTTCTAAAAATAGGCTGAGGTGGCCAAAAAGGCTCTAGGAGTTGTTGATAGTCAGATTAAAAAAGGAATTATGCATCGCTCTTAGTGGGAGGGTTTGAAATGAAAAACGCAAAGAGAAAATGAGCCGATGAGAAGCAGACTGCCCTGACATCAAGATTCTCTTCAAGGAGCGCAGCATTCAAAGAGAGTCACACCTAAAAAGCTGTGTAAGCATCCTGACAGCTAGTTAGCTGGATGACACATAAAACCTCTTGGAACTGGATCTAAAACATGGATAATTACGTGTTTGGTTTTCTTTTAGTTCTGTTTATCTGAAGCACCTCTTTTATTATTCCCTAAGCTGCAGAAAGAAATTGTTCTTCATTTTTATTTCAATGTTTGGTTCTGGAACAAAAATGATTTCCAGGGTGCAAGCTGGCAAACTGAATTGCCACAGCATCCCACAGTCCTTAAAACTGCCACAAGAAAGCTCTCACTGACTTTGGCACCTTCTTACGAGACCAAGGGATACCCAGAAAATGTCTGAACATAAGAAGCTTCCCCGAATGTGTAACAATACAGCTATTGACTGGACCCAGCCATTCTCCTGGTAGCTCAGACAATGTGCAAACCACAACCAACTCCAAAGGCTTGACACATAGGAAAAGGAGGTGGAAAGACACTGACAGAACGCCAGTCTGCTCCCACAGCTGTAACACAAGTATTCCTGTTGTGAGATCAGAGGGGTATGCTGGAGGCTAGTCCTCACTGCTGGGAACTCTGCATATGGGTTTGCCAGCTATGAAATGGGTTCCTCCAGCCTTGTTTACACGGGGCACAGGGAGCGATGCTGGGCTCAGCCAGACCCACTAGATTCTTTCACCCCAGGAATACAAACAACAGCAAGCTCATCTCTGCTGAGTATTTGTTTTCCTCCAAGTAACTACGCTACAGTTATCTGCACCGTTTTGCATCTGTGTTCTACATCCCCACAGAAATGCTCTGACCTATTATTTGCAAGACCACTGGACAAATATATCATTCATCAGCACAACCGCCCAATTATAATACAGCTGCGGCGATCTCTGTGCCAGCTGGTGCTTTGTGTAAATAGACTCATTCCAGCAGAATAGGCTTCGTAGCTTTGTGCGGGTTCCCTCACTACCTGCTTAATCATCAAAACATGCAAATTTCATGGGCACCTGGCTCTTACAGCCATAGGCTAAAGCAGCAAGCTTCTTAAGGGCAGCTCATGCAACTGCGCTGCTCTGGTCTCTCCCTGGGCACAACATTTGTCGTGCCTCTTAGTTCTGCGGTGGTTTTACTTACAGCTGCCCAGTGTCCTCCAAAGTACAGAGGAGAAAGCTGGCAGGTGTTCCTTCTCGCTGCTAAGCTACAAAACCCATCAAAACTACCTCCATGTTAGCAAAGAGGAATTTGTTAGTGTAAAGTACCTGAGCAGTGACTAAACCCTGTCCTTGTTCTTATGGGAAAAAGCTACTTGCTATTCTTGGTAAAGGGAAGGTCTTTCAAATCAAGATAATGTTTCACTTGTTTTTCAAAAGTGAACTTACTGGGGGTGGGGAGGGAAGCAAGGAAGCAAAAATAAAATCTACTTTGCAACAAGTCAAATCACTCAGAGTTTCCCAAAATTAGAGGCTTGGTCAGAAGCATTGGAAAGTTTAAGAAATACTCTTTTAAAAACAACTCCCACAGAGCAATGCTCCCTCTCCACAACCAAGAGGCATGTGAGCAAACCAGGTCACTGCCCAGACGTTTTCTTCATCGTTACATTGATGGGAACTGGGGGGTGGGCAGGGGGTGAGCAGGCTGCATCTTTACACTCCTCATGTTTTTCAGAGCTGCGCTTCCAAGCCTGGTTTTTGCTTTGTTATAAGAGGGAAGCATGTGCTGGCATCACACCAGTGCCTCGTATGTCCTGCTTGGTGACCATGTAGAATAAGAAATTCTGCCTTTTTCTGATCATCTCTGCCTGTCGAAAGACAAGGGAATTAAGGGAGATACTTTCTGCACGCTTTAAGCTTCATTGCCTCTTTGTTATCCTCAGGAGTTGCAAAGAAAGCAAGACCAGAACAGCACTGTGTTAATGATGCTGTCAAGAAGCCAAAATACAGTGCCACACTGCAGCCCAGCCTTCTGCTATCAGTACCACTGTCCCGTGCTCATTTCAACAACTGGGGAAACAGGTTGCACAATTTGCCAGTGGTCTGGAAAAGAAGTTGTCGACACCTGGCTCCTGCTGATAAGAACCTGGACCCGCTCAGAACACAATTCTGACAGACACTGATGGCTATGCAAAGCACACAAACACTGCACTTTTGTCACCCAAGTATTTTCCAACAGCAGGAGTATCAGAAACACCCACAGCAAAATCAATTTGGTGGGAGGGACTTCCTTCTATTTTCACATGTGGTTGCTGTCAGCAGGCTGAACTTTTGATAAACTGTGCAGCTAACCTGGCTGACTTCGCTGAAACCCTGAAAAGAGAAGCCTGAGCTACAGAGCTGCTCTTTGGCATTGTACCACAGGATGGTGGACAGCCGTGCTCAGCATCTGGCCACAGCTGATTTACAGCTGCATCTCACATCCATACAGATTCCATCCAAAGGTCAGCAGCTTCAGCTTGTGATGAGGAATGTTCTGCTTCGAGACACAACGCTGTCACTGTGACCCACTGCCCCTGCTCAGAGCAAGCAGCTCATTGTTCTGGTAGAGCGCAAGAAAGGGCTGAGACCTCTGCAATGGAAACTGCCTTGAGAACTACATAATTCCAAAGTGTGGACACAGACTTCTGCATAACAGGCTGATGTTACTTACAACAAGTAACTCTAAGAGATGCTCTTCCTCCAAAATTTCTCAAAACAAACAAACAAAAAAAATATATATAAACCCAAGTATACCAAGAGCCTTGACCATATGCCAGGGCTGCAGTCATTCCATAATGTGTTACAATTCACAGTGCAAATCCAAAACCATTATGCTTCTATATGAATTTACTCACTATCTATGAGATCACATCTTGATAACATCAAGCTCTGTAACAAAGGGATGTGTCCATTTCATCCAAGAAACTCACAGACGTTCTGATTTAGGGTTTGTGGATGAAAAGAGACACTCCTGGCTCTTGCAACCAAGGAAAGAGCACTGTTAAAACGTATTCTTAAAGATACACAAGGAAACTGTAAAGTGCAGAACTTACCTTCCACTGCAAAGAATGGAACCACTGATCCCTCAGGTAACTGTTTGCAGCCTGCAATAAAAAAAGTTACAAATAGAATCATTAGTTTCTATCAGTGTTTCAGATCACTAAGCCAAAGCTAAGCAAGTCACCCATGTGTGGCCTAAAAGCAGCAAGGTTGCACTCGCCGTGTTCATCTGAACTCTGTGACCTTGGCCAACTCCAACCCCAGCCTAATTGGATTGAGGGAAACTCTGCACAGAGCTCCAGTTTTACATTATAACCAATTTATTTTCATAGAAAGCAATGACATGAAGACCTTGCTGCAAATATAAAACACTGAACCAAAACCTTATGAAATATTAACCTCCTTGAAATGGTGTCCAGACCAAAGACTGTGAAAAAAACCTCAGTGATTTCAATCAGGTTTTGATCAGCTCTTTAATATCTGCAGGACATTCGCTTTCTCCATCAATCACTGCGAACAGAGGAAAAAGACAGGCTGACATTTTACTGGGGACGTACTGTTTTTTTCCATTCACAGCCTCCCTCCTTGCGCTGCTCCCCAGCTGGCCACAACGTGCTTCCATCACACCTCAGCTCTTTCAGTGATATTAGAACAGAGGGAAAAGCACAGCACAGGCAGACATGCACACACACGCATGGGCTGCTCGCAGCAACTGCACAAATGTTGCAATAACTGCTCCCAGGGATCACCCGTTTTAAGCAGAGCTGCCAGAAATTCCCAGTGTTCATAGCCAACGAAGGAACAGTTCAGCACTCCCAAAGGTCAAAAGGCTCGGTATCAAAAAATATAAAAGCATCCACAGTGACGTAAATACGCATGCCTTAACAAGGTGACATAAGTTTGAAATATTTGAGTGGGTAGAGATGCCCTTTGGCTTTTCCAGCTCTATCTTGTCCCTGCCAGTGGGCAAGTTTTACTTGCAAATCAAAATGCTTTACACAATCAGTGAGAAAGAACAGCCCGTCTGTCTGTATTAAAAGGGTATGGTTTCTTTGCTAGAGAAAAACCACATGCTTCCAGCAATTTAAAGCATCCTTCAACAATTTTACTCTCCAACACCTTTTTAGATAAGTATTCGCTGCAGAATGGATTTCACTTCCTGACAAAGTTCACTGATAACGTCAAGAATACTAGAAGGAAAAACGCTGCGTGGTTACCAAACCTGTGTTTAATCCCAAGGTCAGATACTGATCTCACAGTGACACAAATTTGGACCGATTTCTCAGGACCAAATGCAGTAATGCTCTTTTTACGTCTGTATTACACATTATTTATTTTTATACATAGATGACAATGGATTGCTCCCCAGTAGATCTCTAGGCACTACAGCAGAATTAATCTATCACGGTCTGGGCTGATCACAGCATTTATCAAACACAGAATTTCCACCTCGTGCAGAATGTCGACACTTCAGAACACAAATTTGCTACCACTCGTATATATTCAAGATAGATCTTTTCCCTAAATATGTTACAGGATTGAACTTCATTTAATGCAGCTCCTACTCTATTTTAATATAACAAAAAGGTCCAAAATAATTTGACGCAATAGGACATGAAGATCATTTTTGGACACAATTACAAAGGCACAAAGTAAATACGCTCAGGCACTTTCTTTCTCCAACACATGCTCTCATTCCCTCTCTCAAAAAATGTCCTTCTTGAAGGGGAATAAAAACTCCAGCTGTGTTTTCTGGACAAACATCCCTGTCAAAGTGAGTGCTCATGACGATGCTAGTTCGAGTTTCGTGTATCGTTACCCATGGGAAAAACCTGTCAGCCTGCAGGGAGAAGAGGAGGAACAGAAGTGGCCACAGCTGAAGTACAGACTGTCAGCTGGAACCATCGTCACTGCCAGTAAGACTCTCAAGAACTGCAACAGCTGGTATTTGTAGTGCTCTGTCCGGAACTACAAGTCCATTAACAACTTTGTCAGGGTATGTATTCGTATTTTTAAGCACAGTAACCCAAGTGAGGCCAGAAGCCCACAAGCCATTGGGCAAGTGACTTCCAGTGACTTCCTCCTGCCACCAGACTAAGCCACTCTCCTCTAGGAAGTCAGAAATGTTCTGTTCTGAAAGAAATTCTTGTCTTTTTGGCCCGTGCAAAGCTAAGAAACAATTTCCCCCAAAGTGCTTCTTGGACCCCACTCCTACACCAACCCTCATATTCCAGCAGTACTTCTCTTAATCAAGCAAAATGCCACCCTGCCTTAATCCCTGCTCTGACCATTACATGCCTTGAGTCAACAGTCATTTGAGCCTAAAGAAAGAGCAAATGCTAGAGCCCTATGATGGGAACTGCTGAGAACTGGTAGTTACCCTCCTTTTTTGGGGATGTCATTATCTGCAGATTGTAAGAATGCCATAAATAAATAGAATTTGTAGATATGTACAGATAGATTTTGCAACCAACTGGAGCCTTAAATTGGATGACAGAAACTGTTACAGAGAACAACAGCATCAGTCAGAGACAACAGTGGAATGCAAATACAGAGCAAACAAAGGAAACACAATGTGAAAGACCACAAAACAAACTGGAAAAGAGTTGAAACTTGAAAGCAGTGGCCTTCAAATAGCATTTAAAAAGGAAAATTAGGAAAGTAACAATGCATCATCAACAGGTAGACTACACTCTGGCTATTGGAAAGTGATAGTTTGCAAGGAAGTTTGCATCTGGATACACGTTACAACACAAACAGCTCTCAAACTAGAACCTGCCAGAGTTCGAGCATCTTTTCAAGATCACTTCCAAGGAAAACAAAGAAGACAAAGCAAACACAAAAAACCAAACCTTTAGGGAATTCCCTCTTCTATTAGCGATCGGGAGTCAACAGTAAGAGGAACCTAGAACACCAGTGGTTCCTTCAGCAGCTCTTTCAACAGTGTTCAGCACAGATAGGCAGAGCTCCTTTAACCTCAGCAGCATTATCAGGATGGAGCAGCCTGGCAGCAGCTCCCCCCATGAGCACTAATCCTGCTGCACAGCCTTCCGCCCGGCCAGCCACAAAACCACAGCTGGCTGCAGGGAGTACCTGACCTCAGCAGGGCTCAGCCAACAACACGAACCAGCACAGCATCCCACATCCCTCCCTCTTCTCCAGGTTTGCACCAACAAAGGGAGCATTCAGAAATATTTCTTTTTTACTGGAAGAATTTTGGATGCTCACTGGCCACCACGGCACACACCACACTCACCCAGGGGTCCAGGTTACTGTACTTTTCTGAGGTTGAAGACAGTGAGCTCCAAACCATACAGTGTACTTCATTCCTATCTATCTACATAAAATGACACTTTGGATACCATATGTGTTGTAGAGCCCAGTTCTGCTCCAAATTTTGATCCCAAATTCAATGGCTTTAGCAGGCTGGTGGGTGCCCCATAGTTTGGAGCTGTCTGCATAGTTAAGGCCCTCCACTGTTCTCTCATAGGGAAGAACTTTAGAAAACAGGAAAATTAGGCAGTAAAATCTATAGAACATGCAAGAAGATTGAAACTACACGTAGCTCCTTTGTCTACCTGTGATCCCAATGAGCAGCAAGAACAGCTGCTTGAAGAAAGCCTGCTGTAAGCGGTACTTCTGTATGGTGGGGTTTCTTGTTTTTTTGTTTTCAAAGATGAGTTCACCCTGGAACTGAGTCCTGAAGGGTTTTATGTTCCAATCGTTGAGGTGCAAACGCTCAGATTGAGGAAAATCCACTGGGGACCAGCTGCAGTGCCAGCATCATTCACAGCATTCATTTCAACAGTTTAGAAAAGATTGCTCACAGAAGGAAAGCTGCACAGGAGATTAAATACCTGCATATACTGAGCTTTGGTAACATAAACAAACGTGCACCTCTGTTCAAAAGGGGAAGTATTTTTTTCTGCACCCAAAGCACCTCACTTCTTAGCCAGTGAGTAAGAATGCACTTTGTCATTAAAAAGCATTGAACTTCTAGAAAGTAGAGATTTTTTTCCTAAGAAATCCAACTCTTTTTGCATGCCAGCACTAAAGTCCCTGCAGCAACTTCCACCCAAGTGAAAACAGACAAAGCAGGAACTTGTGCACTGCTGAGAAACAGAGCATCTGAACCTGTGCAAGAAAGCAAGCACTTGAGGAACGATGGTGAAGACCTACAGCCAATATAGATATTCACAGCTCTGCTCAGATAACGTGCCTGCAACAGCCAGCAACAGCAGAAAACATCCCATCCATCATACCACATGTGCCATGCTACCAAGCCTCTCTAACAGTAAGTCAGTACAACAGCATCATTCATTACAGGCATGTGTGTTACTCAGAATGCAAGAACAGGCTTGTCCACATAGCAGAAAGTTCCCATGTTTCTCCTTACAACAGCACCCTTCACACACAATCCATGGGATTCTGCCATCTGAAGAGATGTGGCAATAAGCAGGGTTTGAGGATCCAGATTCTGTTTTTCATTCTCCCTGGGTTTACTCTGTATTTGTGTTTCTCCCCCTCGCTTGCTCTCTGGTCAGCAGGATGTCCTGGCTTTATGGTTTTATGTCATCACAGGATGAGTTTTTGTCATGCTTTCCTCATCACATCTAAACAGAGACAGGGGCCTCCAAGGAGACTGAAACATAACATTATCAAAAATTCCAGTGAAAATATTTACCATGGGGACTCTCTGGCTAACACAGGGCTGAGCTGAGCATGCGGCTGCAGTGCCCGTCGGGGTTTCCTGCCCTGCCTGCCCTTCCTTCTGACCACCCCAAGACATAAATACACCACGAGCAGAGGGATGGAGGCAGAAGCTCCACAGCATTCACAACCCATCCAAAAAGAGATGACACTATGGGAGAGCACCATCACAGCCAAAATACCAAAGCCTCTTTTCTGAGACTCTTCCTACATTTGCTGCTAAACAGCTTGTAAAATTATAAGCTTCTCCCCCTCTCAGTCACTTTCAATAGGTTGCTGCAGCTATTTCACTATCAATAGCAGCATCACTTTCATTAGCATTCACGCAGCACCACAAAGCACATCGTGCCTTACAAACAGAAAGCAAGAAAACAGCATGAAGAGGACAGTCTATTACTGAAACTGAAGAGCTCACAGTTATTTAGCTCTTATTTCCTATCCTAAAAAGCGACAAGCCAGCTCCAGCCCTGTCACACCTGCTATCTTCTTTGCAGAAAAGCAAAGAAAAAGCCCACAAGAGCTGACAGCTTCATGCTGGGAGAACCAGGGACCAAAACCAGCTGGCCAGAGGAAGGAGAGCATGACACACTGGTGAAGAAGTTGTCTCTGACCATCCCTGCTTGTCCCTGCAGTCCCAGCACACACAATGGATGGGCCAAGCTCCCCATTGCTGTTGCCAAACCATGGCATACATGGATGCTCAGGCAAACCCAAGCAGAAAGCACACCCACCATGCTGACATTCCAACACCAGCCCAGCCCAGATGAAGCCATGTGCTGCCTGAGAACCAAATCCTCCCCTGAAACCCAGGTAGATGTGTCCCATTATCACGATCTGATTTCCCAAGAGCTGCATCACCTCCGGCACTACTTGTCAGATCTCACGTGTTCAGGTGGGTTGGGATGGGTCAGTACTGCTTGGGGAGGACATTGGGATGATGTAAGGAAAGGTAATGGCACTCTTCCTTCTCTGACTCACTGCTATGCAGTAATAAGCCAGAAATAGGCCTTGGTGATAGCAGATAGAGGAATGAGAGCTCCAACACGGACTCGAGTCTCTCTGGTGGCATTTCTCATGCCTACCGCAGACACACACAGAGGATGTCCCAATGCCACACACTGACAGCCTCCCACGAGAACTGCTGGGAATGAATTTCCATTCTGAGGGAATTTCCAGCTACCTGAAGTTTGCTTCTGCTTCAAACCAGTGAAACAGAAGATAAAATTCTAGACTTCTCCTTAATCTGGTAAACCTGTGATTCGTAACTATTGATGTGCTTCATTTTATGTCGAATTATCTCAGTAGTATCCTGTGGTATTAACAAGTTCATGAAACACAGCACGAACAAAGACATAACACAGAACTAAAATTAATCAGCGACATGAAATAGATCACGGAGTAGAAGTCAAAAGAATTCATTTAAACATTTTCTTACACATAAATCTTATTTAGATCAAGTATTTGAGGGGAAACAAAAACAAAAGCAGCAAACAGATTTCACAAGTGCACTTCAGAAGAAACCTTGGGAACACACTTGGACCTGTCTGACTTGTTCCACCATCAGACACTTCCTGACAGCGGTGCCTGACGTTACATCAGAGTGCTGCTGCTCAGACGAGCAGGGCTGAATGATTTTATAAAAGATCTGAAGTCCCAATTTCCCATAAATATATCGAAGCGTCTCGGAAATCTGAAAATAACTGGAGCATGCAAGAGCTAATTTCTCAGCATCTCAATTTCTCAGCGCCTCACTGAACAGCTCTTTTGGATACTCAGGAGTGTCACATATACCAGAGTACGTCTGCTGAACGTAACTACTAGAGAAATCCACTCTTGTATTTTGATTTCTTAAGTACACTGTATAATTTTCAATAATGTTTTAGATTTGTGAATACACATTACAGCCGTACATGAGAAATCTATTTTGACATTCCCTCTGATCTGGTCATGTTTGATGAACCCAGACACTGCTGGGGATTAAATAATACTAAAAACATTTTCAAAGCTTGTGTTTTCAGTTCTGTTGAAATTCCCACAGAGTCATACAGTAACTGATCCATTCTGCACGGACAGTCCACAAAAAACCTAACTGAAGAAGAGCTGACTGCATTTCTGTATCAGTTCCTAGGAGGTTACATAAAGGCATCAATCTATTTGAAGAAAGTTAATTCATTCTTAAAAGAACATAATTATTTGTGGAGTTTGTTTATTTTAAAGAAATACATGGCAGGCCACTCCAGATCCAATTCTGTATGCCCTAACACACTGCCTTTAAACTCAGCAGGGAGCTGTGGGTTCACATTTTATCTTCTTTCCTATTAAGCAGGCCAGTAAAGGCAGCCACCATAAGCTATGCAATAAAGACAGAATTTTGAAAGGCAAATTTAACCATTCCAGCTGTTGAAATGGATACGAACACAAATGCCAGCATTAGTAAGCAAATTTATAGAAGAATCAGAATTATCTCACAAAAAAATCAAAATTGTCCACCTTGACAAATGGAGTTTCTCTCTAATTTATTCAATTGATGAATTAAGCGAGGAAGATTTTATCAATAATGAGGACCCTAATCTAGCTGTTGGGAAACCATGGTTTGTTTGCCTGCCTTCCCCACTGTCACAGACTATAGAGGCTTTTCCTACCACACAATCAGAACTTAGGTGGACTTGCAGCAGCCTGCCTGAAATTCAGGCTCCATACACTCCCTGGAAACGCCTCAGATCAGCAATTCATTCTGAGCCACAGCAATGTTTGCTGGGCATCAAGCAGAGGCACGTGTGCATGCGCCGTATGCAATGGGACACGCGTCTGTGCAAATGCTACCCTGGCACCAGGAGAGCCTACAGGATTAGACATCCTTAGGTGATCCCAAACCCACTAGAGCTGCACTAGGGGAAGGTCTGTATCCCACGTTCACAGGACTGTAGAACCCCAGGATTATAGTGGGGCTGTAAGAAAGAAGGAGACAGATTCTTTAGCAGGATCTGTTCTGACAGGACAAGGAAAATGGCTTCCAACTAAAAGTGGGGAGATTTAGATGGGACAAAAGGAAAGTTTCTTACAATAAGGGCGGTGAGGCACTGGCACAGGTTGCCCAAAGAGGTGATGGGTGCCCCATCCCTGGAGGTATTCAAAGTCATCCTGGATGGGGCTCTGAGCAATCTGACAGAGATGCAGATGTCCCTGCTCACTGCAGGGCAGTCGGACTAGATGGCCTTTAAAGGTCCCTTCCAACTCAAACAATTCTATGCTTACACCAGTAAGGTAAAGGAAAAGCAGCTCCAGAAACATCCTCCACAAAGGATGTGGCCATGGATGTTTCAACATACACATGTAACCATTTCTGAGTGACCACATATTTGACATGTTGAAAGTCATCACAACCTGATGATATTTTTATGACACTCCAAAACAATCCCAACCCCCCTGGAGGGCTGAGGTCAAGCTCTGTGCTCCCTTGAGCTACTGGGAAACAGCTCTGTGTATGAATGGGCCCACCAGCCATCCAAAACAAAGGCAGAGGAGAGCTGGAGTCATCTTAGCACTACAAGCCTTACTCGTATTGATTTCCCACAGTTTAAATTAATCTTTCTACACCATTTCTGCAGAAATCACTCCACAGTCTGTTTACCATCCTAGCCACATGAAGTGCATATACACAATTGTGACTGTATATTCATCTAAAAAAACAAAGGGAAACAGAACAATTTGTCTTTGCAACAACGCTGAGAACACTCTCTGAGCTAAGCTGGAGTCACTTCAGTCTTTTTCAAGTTATGGCTGTTTGTAATTTTGGGGGGATCAATCAGCTGGGTGTTCAGTCACTTTTCTTAATCCGAAGTGATTCCAAAGGTCAGAGCTGTGGAATGCTCTTCTATCACTAGAACATGGAGTGACCTAAGGAGCCCTGTATAGCCTCACCAGTGGATGAAGAAACCTGGAATAACAAAAATGCAGTGTCCCATGCAAATCATAGAATCACCAAGCAGATGAAGTTGGAAGGGACCCATAAGGATCACTGAGTCCAGCTCCTAGCTCCACACAGAACAAACCAAAACTCAAGCTATATATCTGAGAACAGTGTCCAGATACTTTTTGAACCCCAGCAGGTCGGTGCTATGCCCACTGCCCTGGGAAGGCTGCTCCAGTGCTTGAGCACTCCCTGGTGAAGAACCTTTTCCCGATATTCAACCTGACCCTCTCCTGAGCAGCTCCACACTGTTTGCTTGGGCTCAATCACTGTCATTAGAGAGCAGAGATCAGCACCCGCCTCTCTGCTCCCTTTCATGAGGAAGCTGCAGGCTGCAATACACAGCCTCATCTGAAATCTTTCAGTGAAGATCAAATATCTTTAAAAAAGGATAAGTGGTATCTGTTCCACTGCCAGATATAGGTTTCCTATACAAGCTGATCTTTCTTGAGTTTTGATTGTTCCAGGTTCAAATTAGTGTTCCTTTTCATCAAGCACTACTTTGATGCGTATGATGAACAAGAAGATTAAATCGTGCCCCACAGATCTCACTCTGTCAACCAACATGGACCATTCCAGAGCGATCACTGAGCTGATTTGTGGCAGAAAGATAACTTCACAGCACAGAGTTCTCTGCCTTTTCTGAGCCCAGGTAATTAGGACTAGATTTCACAAACAGCAAATAAAAAATCAAGGAGATTCATAGTTAAAGAAAGAGAATTTACTTCTGTGTTTACTGTACCTGAAGTAAGACAGTACCCCCTGGGATCGTGAGCTGTAAACAGTACTTAGGGGCATTCTCCCAGGACAGCAGTTGAACATCTTCAATAGCACTGTAGGAAATGGAGTTTTCCATGTACCCAGTTGGCTGCAAGGAAACAAAGGAGAGGGGAAAAAAAGTTTTACTTCATCATCAGAAGAAGCACAATTTTAAAGTATGAACAGTACCATCAAAGTTATTTTTGATGATGAAAATAGCTGCAATACATTGTAAAACTGTGAAATAAAATACCTACACTGGCCATTCAGCAGAGAGATCAGCCTAATCAACTTCACCCAACTTGTTCAAGTAAGATTACCCACAAAAATAAATAAACAAACAAAAACCAAACAGACCAGACTCAAAAGCGTGGAATACTAAAACGTCTAACTAAATTTCACTTGGGTCTCAAACCACCAACTTGAGCTGTGAAGGTGTCTGACCACACTCATGCACTCAACGTAAGAAGCATCTTGATCACACAGATGGCAGTATTTTGTGTTTAGGTGGTTTTATTCCAAACATCCTCGTTCTCCCTGGCTGTCCTCATCTCATAAAAACACAATCAAAAGCAGAGCACCCAACCCATTCATCTTCGCTCATATGCAAGTACCAGTTTCAAACTGCAGATACCGCTGACGCCCAATTTCAAGCAAAAGTCACAATTAAAGCATACATAAGCACACATTGCAGTCACATGTACAACATACATTGATAGCAGCAAGGAAATAAGGAAACTCCTTATTAGCATCCTGATAGCTGTTCAGCATTGCAGAAGTACAATTATATCTGAAGTAGAGATAAGCTGAAATAATGTATATACACAAGCTCACATAAAGTTATATCCCACACATGAGTAAATACACAGAGCTATAGGTGTGTACGTGCTGAGTACACATACACACACTGCACTTTGTGTTGTTTTAACAGATGCCCTCAAAGACAACATCCATTTCACTGCACTACACTGTAAGCAAACTGATCAATACTGCTATGGCAGAGTTAACTGTTCTTCTGCAGGAATGCTGATTAATCCCCCCACGTGGATAAGCCCTTGTGATGGCCACATCTTGCAAGTGAATGGAGCTGATTACGCTTATGAATTATGTTCTTATTATTGCTGGCTTACACCTAACTGAAACTTCATAAACTTACTCCCACTGTGCCCAATATACAGATTCTTTTTAATTGATGGTCTCAAAATAAGAAACCAAAAGAAAAAACACATCATGCTTGGGGGCAAATGGGACCAACTCTGAGCATCACAACACGAGATTCTGGGGGCGAGTGTGAAATTAGCAAGCTGCATTTGGAAGGTCCCTACATTTTGTTGGCATGGCTTTCTTCTGTAAGTTATGTGGGTGGTACAGCTGGAAATGACTTTTAAGTTCTTTTCATACATGGTCATAAGGCCATGAACTGCACTGTTCAAAACATACCTGGTGACCCCACCACAGAACTTTGCTGCAACAAAGTCAGTCAGCAAGCCTACGAACTGAACTTCAATATCATTTTAAACAACACTTGCTACAGGAGGACTCATTTTGCTTTAGCCCTCACTGAAAACAATTTTCACTGTCTCTTTAACAAAAACCTTGTTATGCAGGAAGTATGATAAACTTCTGCTTATTCGTTACCGCAATATTGTTCTACACTAGTAACTGGAATCCCAGTGGCTTAATGCTGATACTGTACGTCACGCGTTGCCTACTGGAGAGTAATTATCTTGTTCTCACAGGAAGCCAAAGGCCCAAGATCCTTTGGTAATCAGCATTACAACACTCAGGGAAAAATATGAAAACAGCCAGCTGAAAATCTAGTATACTCAGGAGGCAAAGATATCAAAAACATGCCCTGAAAGACTGGAGAAGGGAGAAATCCCAGATCGAAAGATGCAAACATAAAATGAGATGAATCAAGGCAATTTAAATTTCTCTCTCACAAAGGTGCTGACTGCCCTTAATACACTCCATTAACTTTGAAGAAGACTTGAATTCTCACAGAATTTGAGCTGTTGAACAGGTACTATACAGATGACATGGTGCTTCAATCCAGAGAAAGGAGCCAATGGAGTCCTTCGTATAACATGTGTTCAAGAAACATTCAGATGTTGTACTGAAGGACGTGCTTTAGTGGGAAACATTGGTGGTAGGTGGATGGTTGGACTGGATGACCTTGGAGGTGTCTACCTAGGTGACTCTATGATTCTATGATCTCCATCCTCTGCGTCCAGCTACACCTCACGCAAAGCCTTACTACAACTGTTTGCTGTCCTATACTCAAAAGCTGCCCTGGAGCATGAGGAGACCCAGAAGCTCGAGGAGATGCTGAGTGCAGAGGCCAAAGGTCAGCCCCACACCAGTGTCCCCTCCCAGAGCCTTGGGCACTCACAGAAGCGAGGACAGAGGGGTGCTCCTCGTGCTTTCACAAGACCGAGCACAGTTCAGCCATTTATCAGGAAATGGCCTGAGGTAAAACTGCAGACTGAGTCATCGGTTCATCTTATAACACAGGCAATTTTGATGCTCAGGTATCTGCATGTCAATCACTGAATCACCGCAGCTGACGAAGATGCAGCACAAGTCCTCAACCTCCCCATCTGCCAGCAGGTCTCACTCGCATGAACTCGGGAGCTGCATCCCCACCCAAAGCTCACTCCATGGAAAACCCAAACCATAGCACAGAAGACCAGAAATGTGGATTCAGATGTTTGAAAATACATTTCAGACATTTACTAGAATACTTTTGAGCTGGTTCGATCTGATTTGTAACATGAAAGAGAAACATGCACATTAACATAACATAGGGGAACAGAATATTGCACCACTGATGAGCAGTGTGAGACACTTCACATTCCAAAACCACAGCACCTTTAAGGAGCAATAAATCAAGTTGAGTTGAAAACGTTTTTATTTAAGAAAATAATAATTCTTATTTTTATAGCTGTCATTTTTTGAAGAGGGCATTTATGTTTCTTGGCAAAGCCTGAAATCTGTCAAAGGAAGCAAGATAATGCACCCTTCTCCTTCACTCTACAGAATTAAGCCTGACTTAGAAAACTCTGTCCAGAGAACCTGCATGTGTCAATTTCCAGATTTCCATTTACAGCTCTAACTTCTGGCTAACTACCTGCTGCTGAACAAGTCCTGAAGAATTCTAAGAGACTCATAAATGAGAAAGAAATTTATTATGACAAACAAAAACCCAAAGACATGGAATCATTTTGCCCTTCACGTTAGCCTTTAGCCTCTTAACGAAACACGCAACTTTTTCCATTGGGAAATCAGGTATGTTTTAAACTCAGTGAGAACTTCACTTCTTTTTTTTTTTTTTTTTTTTTTTAGTTCTGCAAAGATTTATTAATCACACAGCTTTGAAACAACTTGGTTCCAGAATAGCCATGCACCAAAACCCACTATAAATCAAATCTTGGGGGAATCAGTGCTCCCAAAATTGGAAGAACATTCAGGCTCACGTGTAAGGGTAGCTCTCTCAGTATTTCTGGGAAAAGTCAGCAGCAGCAGACTACTCAATAATGCAAAAATCTGCCCACTTGTTTCCATGGGAAATTCTAAAAGGGAAAGAATAAACATGACGTCCATTGTTAATATGATGTTTTTAGGCACTTACTCATATAATCGTGTACTAAACCTTCAGCTACATATTTTCCAAAAAGAGCATCTAGAAAATATGAATTCTACAACTATAGATGGTTATTTGCATTAAAGTATATTTGGACTGACAGCTTCCACCAACACAACAACAATAAAGAATGATTTTTCCAATTAAGCACTCCAGCTGATGGGAGGAAATAGGGATGTTCCAGGCCCTTGTTCTTCCACTCTCAGGTGCTTAGCTCTCCCTTGGCTGCTCTCAACAGGCTTAACATGCTGCTGTACAGTGGGAACACGAGCATGCTGTACTTGCAGTAAGTTTGCCATACCCATATCCAACTAAGACTTAGCCTTGCTGAATAATGTGTAGGAAGAGTTGATTGCTTTCGAAACTTTGATGGGGGTGGAGACTATTCAGCCTGGACTCTGAAACTGCTGAACACAATGGACGATTTGAAATAAATCTCTCCTAGGAGACATCCATGGCTCCAGAGAACGCCCCTGCAAATGTAGCTGTTTCTGATAAGAGCAATTAACATCTTTATTCATTAACTATATAACCTATCAGAAGGCATTTATCAAGTTAAGCAATTAGCAGTACTGCACCATAATACGCAGCGCAGGGCAATTTGTTTCACTCTTGATATGGAAGAATTTACTGCCGTGTACACTTGTCATAATGACTTGAAAGAGTTTAAAGTCAATGTTAATCTCATGGAGATTAATCTGATAAGAAGACAGACAGAAAGACTAACAGTGGTGAGACATCCAGCTCCGTCCCAGAGCTGCAGAAAGGAATTTCTGAGCTCCCTTGGAGCAATATTCCCACATCTGAATGCCTCCCGGCCCCTGGCCTGCTCATCGTCACCATCAGCCTCCCGTCCTGCTGCTGAGTTGGAGGTCTCACATGTTTCACAATAGGAAAAGACCTCACTTGTCCTGTGCATGGTGAGTAGGAACACATTGGAGGAAAACCTCAAGCTGGGAATACAACTCAGAACTTCAACAGCAATTCAACCAAGTCAGGCTTTGCAGCTTGTTTTTTGCAGCTAGCTTTTTGCAGCTTCTTCCACTACATATTTAAGAGGACTGGGACTGAAGGCTGCTACATTAATTAACCTTACAAAACTGATAAAAATGTAACTGCTGCCAGGAAGAAGCAGATTATCCCAGGCTGTGCAGGAAAAAAAAAGTGAACTGTAGTGGGCTGATTAGTTCTGTGGAGGTACAGGAAATGGACAAGACAAAACCATTCATTGAAGGGTTGGTGGGAAAGAACTGCTCTCCACGCTAAGACATGCAGTTGCCAGCATCTGAGAAATCCATGCATGAGGCATTGGCAGAGAGAACTACAAAGTAATTCAGGTCTGAAATATGTTTAAAGAACAGAACGGAGGTTCGTCATTAAGAAGATGAGAAAGTAAGGTCATGTGATGGGGTATGTATCGTGACAAGCAAGTCAAATAAGCAGGAAAAAAGCATTAATTATACTCC